AAAAACTACCCCAGCAATGGCTAAGTTGTTTGGTCTTGTCGGGCGTTTCGCCATGGTGGAAACCTGTCCTGAGGGAAACGAGTCCTGAGACTTTTCGCGGTTTTCGGGCTTTCGGAGCCCTCCAACGGGCCCCGGGACTGTCAGAAGACGACTCCGAATCAATATCGCGTCCTGGGGGACGGCTTCAGGGTCCAGGACCCGTTTCCCTCGGGCCCCGCTTCCCCCCATGCTGAGCGTCTCCGATCCGACGCAGTCCTCGTGCCCCATGTCCAGAGCATCATCATCGCCGTCGGCACTGGATCCTACCCTCCTGGCCGGGATGGCTGGTCACCGTTGTCGCCCTCGCGGTCGACAGTGTCTGGGCGCAGTCGTTTCTCATTCTTCTCCCCGTCCGTGCTGGTCAGCGCCCCCGCCACGCCGCCCACGTGGTCGTCGATGTGGGGCTCCTTCAGGTCGTTGGATTCGCCTTTACACTAGCCCTCCTCGTCGGCCTCGTCGGGTTCCTCCTCGCTCCTGTTGAGCGTTGCCCCCCTATAGCGTGTACTAGCCCTTGTATGTCGTCGCCGTCGTCGTCGTCGTCGTCGTCGTCGTCGACGTCGTCGTCGTCGCCGCCGTCGTCGTCGACGTCGTCCAGAGCATCGTCCAGAGCATCGTCCAGAGCATCGTTGCTACGAGGTGCAGCGCATGACTGCGAGCACACTGCCGCATGCTTTGTGCTGCAGTTGTGCGCGCATGCGTGCCTGCTGCGCCGTCCGTGGCCGCCGAGTCTCAGAGCTCGAAGTTGCCCGACACGCTCCGGAGCCAGGCAGAGGACAAACTGCGCAGTCACATCTCGAGAGTTCTCCTCCTCCTCCTCCTGCCCCTCCTCCTCCTCCTCCTCCTCCTCCTCCTGCTCCTCCCCCTCCTTTTCCTCCTCCTCCTCCTCCTTTTCCTCCTCCTCCCCCTCCTCGTCCTCCTCCTCCTCCTTCTTTTCCTCCTCCTCCCCCTCCTCCTCGGGAGTTCTCTGGTGTCGTCGCTCCCCGCCCGGCCCATGCCCAGGACGTTGAGGGGGCGCGTCTCTCCAGCGGCGGCCTCTGAAGCCGCGCACCGAGGGTCGCTCTCGCCCAGTACCACCTTTTTGGGTGGCCGACTGGGACGCAGGGATGGCTTCTGAGGGGCCCATACCTTCTCGGGTCGGCAACGGGGTGAAATGAACGGGGGGGGCGTCGAAAAAGACAAACGGCAAATACCTAAGCTCTTGGGGCTCCGCGCGGATTTCTTGGATCGGCGCTGGACCCCTCTCCTTGGCGCGCGCCAGGGGGGGCTCTTCGTCAATTCAAGAAATCCGCGTGTAGCTCCGAATGTTTATGTTTATGCGGTTTAGGGGGACTCAACTGAGTGGTCTGAACGGGCTCCTTCTGTCTCTTCTCGCGATCCTTTCCCTGTCGCTTGCGTGCCTCACTTCGCCTCCGGTGCACCCCACCGCTTGCTGACCGGCGCCTGACTGTGTTGGACCACTTGGCGCCCGCGGGCTTTAACATCTGCTAGGAGGGAAACACGGGGCGCCCTAGCAGCACCCCTTGCCCGCTCTAGGCAGCTGTCTACGAGCCCCCCGGGGCCCCCGAGGCGGCCACTGCCCTGCAACTCTCGATCGGCCCCCCCTCGATCAATCCTCGATCCTCGATCCTCGATCCTCGATCCTCGATCGATCCTCGATCCTCGCTCGATCCTCGATCCTCGCGCGATCCTCGATCCTCCGATCGTCCCATCCTCGATCCTCGATCGATCCTCGATCGTCGCTCGCTCCTCGATCCTCCGATCCTCGATCCTCGATCCTCCGTTTGTCGATCCTCGAGCGATCTTCGATCCTCGATTCCCCCCCTTGCCGTCCACTGGATTCTCAGAAGTCCCCCCCCCGGCTTTTTTAAGGCCCCTTCGCGCCACCCTTCTTGTCCGCGCCGGCGCTGGGCGCAGATGGCCCAGCTCGCGTTGATGCTGGTGGCGCTTGTCTCCGTCGCGCCGGCCGTCGCGGCGGGCGCAGGCGGCTTCCTAGCGCAGGGTGGGCTGGCTGTCCAGGATGGCGGCTATTGCTCCCAGACCTCCGACTGCGAGCCCAGCCTCGTCTGTGCCTCCGGGCCGGCGTACGACGTTTGCCAGGAGCACGACCCGGACGGGAAGCAGTCGGGCGAGTTTTGTCAGCACACGTACGAGTGCGTCTACGGCCTCGTCTGTGCCTCCGGGCCGGCGTACGACGTGTGCCAGGAGCACGACCCGAACGGGAAGCAGTCAGGCGAGTTTTGTCAGCACACGTACGAGTGCGTCTACGATCTCGTCTGTGCCTCTGGGCCAGCGTACGACGTGTGCCAGGAGCACGACCCGAACGGGAAGCAATCGGGCGATGCTTGCAAGCACAACTACGAGTGCGTCTACGACCTCGTCTGTGCCGCGGGGCCAGCGTACGACGTGTGCCAGGAGCACGACCCGAATGGGAAGCAGTCGGCCGCGGCGGCAGGTGCCGGCGGCTTCCTGGCGCATGGCGACCCGGCTGGCCAGGAGGGCGACTCCTGCTCCCAGACCTCCGACTGCGAGGCTGGCCTGGTCTGTGCCTCCGGGCCGGCGTACGACGTGTGCCAGGAACACGACCCGAACGGGAAGCAATCGGGCGATGCTTGCGAGCACGACTACGAGTGCGTCTACGGCCTCGTCTGTGCCGCGGGGCCGGCGTACGACGTGTGCCAGGAGCACGACCCGAACGGGAAGCAATCGGGCGATGCTTGCGAGCACGACTACGAGTGCGTCTACGGCCTCGTCTGTGCCGCGGGGCCAGCGTACGACGTGTGCCAGGAGCACGACCCGAACGGGAAGTAGCCGCGGCTTCGAACGCGCGCGTAAGATTGCGCATTGGGCGGCGTCGCTACCCAGGCCAGAAGTGCCAGGGAATTGTAAGGCGTGTGACGCCGACCAGGCGGAGGGGTGTGGTTCGGCGGCATTGTCGGATAGGGAGGGAAAGGGGGGGTCACGAGGTCTTCAGGATGCAGTGCATGCCACTTGATTCGGTCCCGCCGCTTGGGGCGCATTTTTCGATACATGGCCGCCTCCGGCGCCAGGAGGCGCCGGGAAAGCGATTGGAGGATGAGGAGGAGGAGGAGGAGGACGAGGAGGAGGAGGAGGATGAGGAGGAGGAGGAGGAGGAGGAGGAGGATGAGGAGGAGGAGGAGGCTACGTGAGCTGATTCGGTAACCATTTTTACCGGAGGCGACGACGAGGGCGAATCAACCAGGGGGAGCAATGCACGTGTCGGGGGGCGCCGATAGCCCATGTTTTGGGCAAGGCTTCGCGGCGGGTGCGCATGACGCCCGCCTCTGGGCTATTCGCCCTCATCTCGGCTACGCGCAGAGGGGATTCATGAGATGGGGGAATGCTTCTCAGAAGCACCACTGCTTCTTAGGAGGCGCGGGCCCTATCTGATGATGATGATGATGATGATGATGATGATGATGATGATGATGATGATGATGATGATGATGATGATGATGATGATGATGATGATGATGATGATGATGATGATGATGATGATGATGTTGATGATGATGTTGATGCAGCCTCCTATTACGAAGCCTGCCCCCTTCCGCCTGACCCCCTTGTGCGCGCCGCCGATCATCGCCGCCTTTGATCTCCCCCCCCCATCGCCCGAACCGACGCTGCCTGCTTGTCCCCGATGCTGGCGCCCGCGATGGGCGGCGCAGCCCGCCGAGTACAGCATGCATGCGGTAGATTCGCTGTCCGAGCGACAGGTCGCACCGGTGTTCGTCGACGAAAGCGCTTGCATTCCTTAGGGGAGCACAAATGATGTAGACATAAGCTTTCGGATGCCCGCGCGGATTTCTCGCATCGGCGTTGGAGCCCCCTGGCGGCGTCTCCGGCGTCGCCGTGTCGCGCTCCGCGCGCCAGGGAGGGGGGTCAGTGCCGATTTGAGAAATCTGCGAGGACCTCCGAAAATCTATGTTAGCGGTCTTTTTTGTTCCTCGATCTCTCGATCCGCTCACCTCGCCCGTGCTCGCTTTTTCCCTTCGGAGGCTGGGGCTGGGGGGGCGAGTCGGGAGAGGAGGCGCGGTGGGGGTCGAGGCTGCCCGAGGCGTGGCCGCCCAGGGGTCGGGAGCTCCGCAGCTGGCTGCGCCCCGCAGAGGCTGCCCGGAAGGCGGGATTCGGCGCATCACTGCCGGGCCGTGCCCGCCACTCCCCACGTGGCCCCTTCCGCGTCCTCCGAGGCGCACGCGAAGGGGCCGCAGGGTAGCGCGGTGTAGCCGTTGACGGGGAGTGGTGGACTCTGACAAGCTCAGGCCCCTGCCAGGTCACGAAAGCGTGGCAGGGGCGTCGGGTTGTCGCACTCCGAGGCCTCCCGCCGTTCCGGGTGCTTCGGGTCACTCTGCAGCCCACGAGGCAGGCGCGTAAACTGCGGCCATAAAGTGTGGGCCATAAGCGCGTAAGCTTCGGGGTTCAAGTCTTTTCGGAGTGCCCGCGGAACGATTGCAGAGCTCGCAGCGTAGTATAATTCACAAAGCAGCCCACATGTTCAGTGATGTCTGTCAGGCACCGTGGGCTTGGGCGTATTTGCATCATTCTTGTGTTCAGTCGTTTTTTTGTCGTCTTAGGCAGCACTGCCAGGAGGGTGGGGAGAATATGGAGGAGAAGGACCAGTGCAAACCCAAGACTCATCAAAGATGTTGTAATCAACCCTCCCTCCGAGCTCCCTGCTCACAGGCCCCTACAAGGATTCATTTTCACTGATGGAGGTGCCCCGTTGGAAGACAACCGCTTGAAAAACTAGAACCGTGCCAGAACACCATTCTTTGGACTTCAACGCCGAGAATTGTCGTTACTGTTGCGTCGTGACGATCCAGAGTCGTGCCAGAATACCACTATTGGGACTTCAACGACGCGAATCACCGTAACCGTTGCGCCCTGACAGTCCTGACTCGTTCCAACCATGGGAGTTCGTGAAATTCCTGCAGTTTTTGAAG